CCTGCCGATGGGGCCCCAGGCAGCTGCCTTTACCTAGGCCACCTTAACTCTGAGGCACTGCATTCTCTTCTGCACTCCACACTGCACAGAACACCCTGTTTAACCCCATACAGCAGTGCTTCACATTCTATTGCTCTGGGATCCGCAGATAGTCCACATTTTTGCTTCCAATGTGGACTGTCTGTCAAGGAGCTGGGAGGGAGCAAAAGCATGGACTGATTGTGGGTCCCCGAGGACCGGATTGGGAAACACTGCCATACATCATAGTGCACACTGCCTCATCTTACACTCCCATCTTGCAATAAAGACCTCTCATGTCATATGTCTTTATGCTATTACACCACACAGTTAAAAACCAATTTTTCAAGCCATTTGTCACCAAAAACAATAAAACTGGCCTTTAAATTCTCTGTCAGGGTGTAAATCGGGGTGTGGTTTAGTGCAAGCTAAGGTGCGTGATCATGAGACAGAGTATCCATGAGAATTTCGTAAGCTGCGATTGGTAATGGCTGCTGTTTCTATTTCCTTTCCTGCACCTCTGTGTCCATGTATTTTAAATAATGGATATATGGTGATTCATTGGAAAGACACACCTGTGCATCTCCACCTGGCACCTGGCTGTAATCTGCTTTGTCCACTGTGGGCTCTGCTCCACTGTCTTTTAATGATTCACAGACTAGCCACTAAGCCTTCAGGCTGACTATAGACTGCAAATCACACTATACTCAAAGGTCAGATTCAAAGGCAGCAGTCACCGCTAATCCCACATGCCATGTGCTGAAGAGAAAGGTGCAGCCTATGAACAGGACATTATTTTAATCAGAACAGGGTTTCACCTAATAACATAGTGAATACGTCCTCAGAGTGACAAAGTAATTGCTCAGGCACGGGTTGTCTTCAAAAGAAACCCACCTAAAACGAACTCCACCTAATTTTACCTAAAGGAACCCAGATTGAACAATTCTTTTAGGTCCTAAAGAGATGACAGGACAGGAAACCTTGAACCGCGAATGACAAACAATTAGGAAGCCTGAGCTGCTATGCCTATGGCTGAATGAAGCCTTTGGAGATGGAAAATTTCACGTTAGAAAAAAATGCTTTCCTGGAACTTCAGCTGAAGCTGAGCAGTTGGCACCCCACTAAGGTTCTCCAGCCTTGCAGGTACCGTATAAGAAAAGGGAAACCGTGAAGCACTGGCAGAATAGCAGATGCTCTCACTATAGCACAAAATTGCCAACAGTGACATGTTTGGCAATATAAATGGCTGCAACCCCACTGTGTTATTCATTAATTCATCTTCTACACCGATTGTCCTATTCAGGGTCAGGGGGGTTCAGGGAGGCACAAAGCAGCAGATAACCCAGGAGAGGGTGGCAACCCATTGCAGGGCAAAGCGATTCTCACACATTCACATTTATGGACAATTTGGCAAGTCCAGGTCACCTTCGATGTTTTCGGTCTGCGGGCGGAAACCGGAGAACCCAATGGAAACCTCACTACGGCTTGGGGAGAACATGCAGACTCCACATTTAAATGATGATTTACCACCGAAGCACACTGAAGAGACTCCATTAGGCTGACTGAGTCTTAGAGCGAGTACACAGTGGTATTTCACTTGAACAGGTCCGAACATATGCGTGTGTTGTAGAGGGAGCGGGTCTGTGTGTGGGTGTGCCCAAAGCGACAGGTTGCATGTGAACCCGAATTTACGTGTTGGTTCTTGTCGTCTGTTTGAGGCTGTTTCCCGGGCTTCTCTGATATTTACCTACCCCCGGAGGAATGGGGCAAGCCACATTCCCAAGGGTTCAAGGGCCATTTGTCTCTCTCAGTTCACCCTAGCCTGTGGCATTCTGGGACTTATTGACTGCTCAGAAGAATCTCGAAACATTCCAAGCAGAGGTCGCTCTTAGTTGCGTGGTGCTGTTAGCCGGCACTGAGCCTTTGCTCATGTAAATTTTGCAATGCTCTACAGTCAGGGGGCAGGAATGACCAGTGAGGCCCAGACAGAATGGCAGAAGCTGCTGTTGCATAAGAAGGGAAGAGCCCCTTTATCTCGTTTGCAAACGAGACGGGGAGAAGGCCGCCAGACTCAAAATTTGTGCAAAGCAGCACATCGTATGAGCACAACCCTTAGCAACTGTTGTTTTTCTCACTCCATTCCATCTATTCTGCTACCGCGTTACCTGGGGTGGGATCTTCAAAGAGTTAATCTCAGGTAAAGAAAAGGCGGACATTTTAAGGAGCTGACAGGAATGTGGCCGCGTCTAGGGCCTGCACTTGGTTTCCGTGTAGCTGCAGAGCTCAGGAAGCCATATTATACAGAGTAACTCTCCAGGGGACCCAGGGAACTCTAGCGGCAAGGAGACACCAGCGGGGCTGTGATCCAAGGCGAGGGCATGGGTGAGACCGCACTGCACCGCACCGCACCGCGAGCTAGCCGGCAGGCTCCCTGCATGCACACCATCACCCTGAGAAGGGCGTCGAGCTGGGGCACGCTTTCACTGGGGACCCAGCACTCTATATGCATTCCCTCTCCGGGGGGGTTCCATCCCACCCTCACCCTCATATATATCCACACAATCAGAGGCCTGAACCAGAGCCGAGTGTAAACCTGAGGGCTTCTATCTAAACATAACAACGCATATCTGGTTACAGCGGTACGGAGACACCTCCCAGACACGTCACGTGAGACTATGAGACTACCCCCCCCCCCCACCCACCAAACTGCACACACCCCACCATGGATATGGG